GACCCTGGGATCCTGACCAGAGCCAAAGGCAGATGCCTAATGACTGAGACACCCAGGCGCCCCCAAATAAATAAAATCTTAAAAAATCCTCAATAACAACAACAACAAAACCAAATAATCCAATTAAAAATAGGGAAAGGACCTCAATAAACACTTATCCAAAGACACAACAAATGGCCAACATATACACAAAAAGATGCTCAACATTACTAGTATCAGAAAATTGCAAATCTGAATCACAGTATCACCTCACACCACTCAGAATGGCTCTTATCAAAAAGCAAGAGGTAACAAGTGTTGGTGAGGAATGTGAAGAAAAGGAGACCCTTACATACAGCTGGTAAGATGCACTCGTACAGACATTGGTACAGAATAGAAGATCTCTAAAAAATTAAAAATATGGGTGTCTGGTGTCTGACTGGCTCAGTCCCAAGAGCTTGTGACTCTTTATGCCTGGATTGTGAGTTTGAGCCCCACACAGAGCATAAAGATTACTTAAAAATAATTTTAAAAATCTTAAAAAACTGAAAAACAAACTATGATATGGTTCAACAATCCCTCTTCTCTGCACACGTCCAACGGCGATGAAATCCGTATCTCCCAGAGACACCTGCAGCCCTGTGTTCACTGCAGCATTATTCACAACAGCCGAGGTACAGAAACAACCTTTCTATGTAGCTTTCTATGGAAAGTATCTTTCTACGGATGAATGATAGATAAAGCCTGATACATATATGCTACATATTATTCGGCCATAAAAAAAGGAAATCCATATCCATAAGTTGACATGGATAAACCTGGAGGACAAAACTCACAGTGCAATAAGAGCAAGACAAATACTATATGGTGTCACTTATATGTGGAATTTTATTTTTTTTATTTTATTATTATTATTTTTAAAAAGATTTTATTTATTTTTATTTGACAGAGATCACAAGTAGGCAGAGAGGCAGGCAGGGAGAGGGGGAAGCAGGCTCCCCACTGAGCAGAGAGCCCGATGCGGGGCTTGATCCCAGGACCCTGGGATCATGACCAGAGCTGAAGGCAGAGGCTTTAACCCACTGAGCTACCCATGCGCCCCTGGAATTTTAAACAAATAAATAAAAGAGGCAAGCCCACCACCACACTGGCCAGGGCCACTCGCCTCCCTCCCACCTGTGCGTGGCCAGCTGGCAGGTGCCTACAATGCCGCTCCCACTGCAGGTCCAGCCTGGGAGCAGGTGCCAGGCCTCCATGTGGTGGGCTCTGTGTGCTCCGGGCCCAGGAGCAGCGGGACACAGGCCAGGCCACCACCACCTATCTCCCCACCCTTGGAGACAGCTCCCCGGCCAGCTCCATTTTGTGAGGGGAGCTGGGCCCTGTCCCCGATGTTCCCTACCACCTGGTGGGCGTGTGGCAGGGTAAGGCAGGGCAGCTTTGTCCACTCCGGTGCCCTAGTGCCCTGGGGGACTGGGAGGTCAGCAGGTATTGGGCACGGCACAGGGCCTGGGCGGGTAAGTCGGGGAAAGGACACCAGAGTTGGTGGCCACGCACCAGTAGGACTGACAGTCGGCGGGGCAGTGGGGTCACGGCCAGCCTGCACAACTTTGTGGGGAGGAAACGAGGTGCCAGGGAGGAAGGAGCGGATTTGGTCTCCCTGCAGTCTGGCTTACATGCAAAGAATGCAGCCATCGGGGGACCCAGGCAGCTCAGTCGTTAAGCATCTGCCTAAGGCTTAGGTCGTGATCCCAGGGACCTGGGATCGAGCCCTGCATCGAGCTCCCAGTTCGTAGGAAGCCTGCTTTCCCTCTGCTAGTTTCCCTGCTTGTATTTCTTCTCTTGCTGTGTCTCTGTCAAATAAACTAATAAAATCTTAAAAAAGAAAACAAAAAACAAGATCCAAAACAATTGTCTATCATTTATTTTATTTTTTTAAAGATTTTTTATGTATTTATTTGACACAGAAAGAGGTCACAAGTAGGCAGAAAGGCAGGCAGAGAGAGGGGGTAAGCAGGCTCCCTGCTGAGCAGAGAGCCCAACGTGGGTCTTGATCCCAGGACCCTGAGATCATGACCTGAGCTGAAGGCAGAGGCTTTAACCCACTGAGCCACCCAGGCACCCAATTGTCTATCATTTAAAAAAAAAAAAAAAAGAAAAAAAAAGAAAAGAATGCAGCCATCTGGTGGCTTGCAGTCCCTGGACATGCCCCAAAGGTTGAAAGAGGGCAAATATTAGGACCCATTTTTAGAAAGGTGTCCCTGAACACCAATGACAACATGGTTCTGACAGAATTTCATGACAATGGGTGCCCACAGTGCTACAACAGATGCTTCTCTACTAGGCATTTCTGTAGATCACATGGGAAGAAGCCACTACGTGATTCAGCCTCATGAGGACACTGAGGACAGTATGAAAGATCATGAAGACACAAATGGTTCAAAAGACAGTTTCAGAGAACAAGATAACTATCTTCCAACTGCAAATGTAGCAAGAATAATGAAAAATGCCATACCTCAAACAGATAACTGTGTTCAAGAGTAAGTAAGGGCGCCTGGGTGGCTCAGTGGGTTAAAACCTCTGCCTTTGGCTCAGGTCATGATCCCAGGGTCCTGGGATTGAGCCCTACATCAGGCTCTCTGCTCAGCAGGGAGCCTGCTTCCCCCTCTCTCTCTCTGCCTGTCTCTCTGCCTACTTGCGATCTGTCAAGTAAATAAATAAATAAATCTTAAAAAAAAAAAAAAAAAAAGAGGGGCACCTGGGTGGCTTAGTCGGTTGGGCATCTGCCTTTGACTTGGGTCACGATCCTGGGCTCCTGGGATCGAGCCCCACATCGGGCTCCCTGCTCTGCAGAAGCCTGCTTTTCCCTCTCCCACGCCCCCTGCTTGTGTTCCCTCTCTCGCTGTGTCTCTGTCAAATAAATAAACAAAATCTTAAAAACTAAAAAAAAAAGTAAATAAAAAATTTAAAAAAAAAAGAATGACTAAGTGAGTTCATCAGCTTTATAACATCTGCAGCAAGTGAAAGATGTCATGAAGAGAAATGGAAGACAATCAAGGGAGAAGATATTCTCTTTGCCATGCTGACCTCAGGCTGTGACAGTTATGATGAACCTCTAAAATTATACCTTCAGAAATTCAGAGAGGCTGGGGCATCTGGGTGGCTCAGTGGGTTAAGCCTCTGCCTTTGACTCGGGTCATGATCCGAGGGTCCTGGGATCGAGCTCCGCATCGGGCTCTCTGCTCAGCAGGGAGCCTGCTTCCCTTCCTCTCTCTGCCTGCCTCCCTGCCTACTTGTGATCTGTCAAATAAATAAAAATAAAATAAAAATCTTAAAAAAAAAAAAAAGAAATTCAGAGAGGCTATGAAAGGAGAAAAAGGAATTGGTGGCAGAGTCATAGCTACAGATGGACTAAGTGAAGAACTTCCAGAGGAGGCACTTCCTAACCAGTTACCAGCTGGCCTAGTAACTGCAGACAGTCAACAACCACGTGTCATGGTTTACAGGATGTCGTATCAGCAGATTTCTAGTGTTCAACAAATTCAGTCTTCATGATCTGAAGAAACGGTGGCATGGGGAGTGGAGAGAAGTGAAAGAGTCTGATTGATTCTGGAAACAGACATGAGAAGGAAGTGACTGAGGAACAGATGTCCCTTTGTATACTAAACACCTGTAATGTTGCTTCCTGATGCTTGACTGAGGTGTTAATTCTGACTTGAAAATCTTTTTTATGAATGATTTGAAAGAGAAATTTGGATTTTAAAGGTATTAAAACGGGCACTGGGTGGCTCAGTTGTTAAGCGTCTGCCTTCGGCTCAGGTCATGATCCCAGGACCTCAGGGTCCTGGGATTGAGCCACCCTGCTCAGCAGGAAGCCTGCTTCTTCCTCTCCCCGTTTGTATTCTCTCTCTGTCAAATCAATAAAATCTTAAAAAAGAAAGAAAGAAAAAAAGAATCAAAATATTTTTGCTTTGTAGTTAAAAAACAACAACAACACACTGTTCAACCCATAGAAACAAAGAACAGAATGCCAGGGGCTGGGGGCCACAGGAAACAGGGAGCTACTGTCAGCTACAAACTGATGCAGTTCTGTGAACCTAATGCACAGCATGGTGAGTACAGTTAATAATGCTGAGCTGCATACTTGAATTTGCTAAGAGAACAGATCTTAAATATTCTTATACACCCCAAAAAGGTAAATATGCACAATGACAGATACGTTAATTAAGCCGTTTGGAGTAATCATGTCATAATGTATATGAATATCAAGTCATAGCACTATCTACTTTAAATAAAAATACACACAGGGGCGCAAGGGTGGCTCAGTGGGTTAAAGCCTCTGCCTTCAGCTCAGGTCACGATCCCAGGGTCCTGGGATAGAGCCTCTCGTCAGGCTCTCTGCTGGCCGGGGAGCCTGCTTCCCCCTCCCTCTCTCTCTCTCTGCCTACTTTTGATCTCTGTCTGTCAAATAAATAAATAAAATCTTTAAAAAAAAATTAAAAAATATATAAATACACACAATATTACTTGTCGGTTACGCCTCAATAAAGCTGTTTTAAAAAAAGGAAAGAAATCTGAACACTGTAAGTAAAACAGCACAAGACAGTCTTAAAAATACAGTCCATGGTCCAGGTGGGTAAAGACCATGATAATACCTGTAATTCCCAGCATAAGGAAGCACAATGAACTGTCAGATAAAAAAAAGGAAACAAAACCAGGGACACAAAAGTAACACAGACCTAGAGAGATGACCTGGCCAGGGAGAGGACAAACAAGATGCCATCCACTAGCCTCACTGCAAGTCTACTGAACTCCAATTCCTCCTGTGAGGGGTCAGCGCAGATAGCACTGGGTCCGTGGGGAGAGCAGAGGGGGCTGCGAAAACACAGCCCCAGCAAGGACTATCCAAGAAACTGCTGAAGCAAGCTGTACCTATTGTCCACATGCTGGAAAGGACAAAGCACCCTCTTACAGGGGGTAATGCAAAACCCAGTTTACATCGCTGGGGAGGGGGAGGGCCTTACCCAGTGAGGATAGAAGTGTAAAGTTCTCCAGCATCACTTCGCGGTACAGCCGTCTCTGAGCCTCATTAAGGAGATGCCATTCCTCCTGGGAGAAGTACACGGCAACATCCTCAAAGGTCAGGCCACCCTGTCAAGAATGGGATGGATAAAACCACGAACATTCTCTGAGAACTCACACTCCATCTCCTCTACGTCTACCCCACATTTCTCTTCCTCTGGAGCTCCCCACACCAGAGGAGGTACCAGGCCTTAGAGTGACTGAGAGCTGTTCTCTCCTCACGATCCTGTTCATGCAGCCCTCAGCAACAACAGGCAGGGGGACAGATTAGTGTCATGTAAGCTCTGGGCTGGGGTGCAGGGCCCCATCACTTCTACCAAGCAATTCCCCTACATCTCACAGATTGTACACACAAGAGCTAACCACATGGGCTCATGCTTCACCCTGAGGTTCCCCGTACCAGGGCACTAGGGCACTCAGCTCATGCTTATTCTCAATGTGCACATCATTCCGAAGACCACACCTCTCTCACATCTTTGGATCTCTCAAATGCTTTCCCACAGCTCTGCCATCTCTGTGTCCCACACCACAGGGATGTTCCTGGACTCACGCATGCACCGGGCACATGGCAACAAGAGTGTTTGAAAATTTCAAACATGATCTCGTATAGCCCCTGTCCTTTGATGGATCCCACTGACAAAGAAAGCCCCAAGTGCTGCTTGGAAGGCCTGCTTGGAAGACCTGTGATCTTTGCTTCAGTATTAGTTACCCAGAACCACAAGTCAATTTCAGATACATGTGACCCTCTCATACTTCTGTGCTTCCCTTGCTGTCCCTCAGCAGCAATAACCCTCCTGTCTCCACTTAACCTTCATTAAAGGCACGTCATATCCCCATTGGTCTCCAAGCCAGGCACAGTGACCCTCACAAATGAACAAATTTCCTCAGACCTTGTCCACCGGCAAGACTGAAACACCACAGATGCCATAAAAGCTCACCACAAGATTCTGGTGAATCTGTACAGTAGTGAGTAAACAGTGGGCCTGGCCTATCATCTTGATTCAATTACCTGCCTCCGTAGCCATGTCATGTCCACTCATCCCAGGGAAGTCTTGGTCGCCTGCCAGATCATTCTCTCTTCTATACTGCTCCCACTATCAAATTTCTCCCTCAGCGTGCACCCTCTTCTTTTTAACTCACTAGTAGCATTATCACCATGACACCACAACCTGCATAACCCCTCCTATATGTAATCCAAATCTCCACCTTGGTCCACAAAATCAATACCCATCACTTCTGGATGTCTCCATCCTGGACCTCTCCCCAGATTCCAGACCTGTGTGTCCCACAGACCATCTGATGCTTTTACTCAGTTCTCTGAAACTTCTCAGATTCTTTTTTTTTTTTTTTTAAAGATTTTATTTATTTATTTGACAGACAGAGATCACAAGCAGGCAGAGAGGCAGGCAGAGAGAGAGAGAGAGGAGGAAGCAGGCTCCCTGCAGAGAGCCCGATGTGGGGCTCGATCCCAGGACCCTGGGATCATGACCTGAGCCGGAGGCAGAGGCTTAACCCACTGAGCCACCCAGGTGCCCCAACTTCTCAGATTCTTAATAGGGCCAAAAGCCTTAAGATATTCTCAGTGGAAATTAACCTACCACCAACTTCCCCATCCCAGTTGATGGACCTTCTATAGCTCCAGCTGCTAAGACCAAAAACCCTGAGATCATCCCTAACACCTCCTTTCTCTCCCTCATCTACAACATCCAAAAGTCTACTTGGCCCTTCTTAAAAAATGGACAAAAGTGGGGCACGTGGGTGGCTCAGTGGGTTCGGCCTCTGCCTTCCGCTCAGGTCATGATCTCAGGGTCCTGGGATCGAGTCCTGCATTGGGCTCTCTGCTCAGCAGGGAGCCTGCCTCCTCCTGTCTGTCTCTGCCTGCCTCTCTGCCTACTTGTGATCTGTCAAATGAATAAAAAAAAAATCTTAAAAAAAAAAAAAAAGGACAGAAGTCCAACCCTTTCTTCAACCTCCACAGCCAGCACTCTTCTCCATCGATTATAGCCAATTGCCTCCTCCTGGGCTCCCTGTCTCCTTCCTTAACTCCATAATCTGTTCTCCACTGCGCAGCCACATGGAGCTTGTTAAACCTGGGCATCACCAACTCTTTCCTCCTATTCAAACTGCCCACTACTTCACTAACAGATGCCCAAGTTCTCAGGCAGCCCACATTACAGACCCGATTCTTGATCTCCTGCTTTTTGTTCGTAACAGAAAGAATGAAGACCTGCTGTAGCCGGTTTCTAACTCCAGCACACCTCCAAGCATTTACACGAACTGGAATCTGTTCCTGAGATAACCTTCCACACCTGTTTACACTGGCTGACTAAACCAAGAACACCTCCATGTAACCCTAGGCGTGCATGCAGGACCCTGACCTTGGGGTATCTCGAAGGTCCCAGACCCAACAGCTGGGAAAATATGTGAGTTTCGGGTTACCACGATCCCTTACACCATAGGGGTGGTGTCAGGGCACGCGAGGGACTGGGAGACCCTCTCCCTCCTTCTGTAGGTGCCACAAGTGCCTTTTCAGCCTCCAAAAACGGTGGGAAGAGTAAGGTAAACCGAGTGAGCTGGGCATCCTCTGTAGTCAAGTGACCTGTTAACGGACCAACCTCTGTGCCTCAGTGCTCCTTCCACCAGCTCTGCGACTTCCGACAAGAACTCCACTCCCAGGGCTCCCTCGTCGTCATCACCCCCATTCCAGCCCGTGCTCCCTCGCGCAGCTTCTGGAAAGCCGCTAACACCCTAACACAGGCGGCGTCCCTCTTCTGCTCACGACCCTCCAGGGCCCTAGGAGCGAAGGTACCGCACCGCGGCACGCCAGTCCAGGGGTCTCCGCCTCACGCTCTCCGTCCCCTCGTCCCCTGAGGGTAGAATCCTCCCGCCTCAGGCCCCCTGCAGCCCCCGCCCCGGCGGCCCCTCAGCCCGGAGCCTGCTCCCGCACGCAGCCCGCTGGCGCTCACACACGCGCCCCCGCCCACCGGCGCCTCCCTCTCCCGGACACCGGGGCCTGGGCCGCAGGGCCGCGAGCAGGCGCCCCGTGCTCGGGCCTTCGGGGTCTGGGTGGGGGAGGGCCCGGGGAACGAGCGCTTACCTGCGCGTGGTCTCTGGGCGCGGCCGCCGCCATCGGACTCCGTGGGTGGAGGGGACCAGCTGTCCCCTGTGCCGTCGCTGAATAGCGGACCCAAGTCTGTGCGGCGGGGACAGCGCCTCCTCCCGCCCGTCCTCTGGTCGCGCCACCACGACCCAGCCCCGGAGCTCCCGAACCTCGAACCGGGTGAAAGAATCAACGAGAACCAGAAATGACCAGGATGATGAGGGCCGGAAGCCCCGCCTCGAGACGAAGCGCAGGGCGGATATCCCTCACCTTGGTCCCTCATTGGCTCATGACTGAGGCCTCCCATCGCGGGACGTTCTGGGAAATGTAGTAGCTGCAAAGGGCGCTCACAGCGTTCGACCAGAGGACGGTCCAGGTGGCAGCCCGGGGATGCTAGTGGTGCTCCTGCGTCCGAGCGGGAGGCGCTTTGCTCGTGGGTAAACGCGGCGGACAGACGTTATTTTAACTCTAAAAAGCTCAGGCTGCGCCATGGGGATGAAAATATTTGAGATGTCCGGAAATCCTCTATCAAATGACATCTCATTCCATAGGTCGTTCAGACGTAAAAGAGTTCACGCACAGCTGGAAACATTATGGTGTTGTTCTTCAAATGTGCATGGCCTGAAGCATTACTCACTTTGGTACTAATGTGCTTGTCAGGAAGAAGAAAAAAGACTGCATACAGGGCCAGAACAGAAGAGCAAGAGAAGGTATGTTAGGCTGCCCTGAAGTGAAGCAGGTGGACAACAGGGATCGTTTCCGGTTCCCGCAGAAAACTTCTCCATTACCTGTGTCATCAGTGATTTTGACAGTTGGAAGCAAAAATCAACAGAAGTGGAAGTAAAATTGGAAGCTCTATACTAAATCCTCTAAATTTTATAAAAAAGCTAATTTATGGGGCGCCTGGGTGGCTCAGTGGGTTAAGCCTCTGCCTTCGGCTCGGGTCATGATCTCAGGGTCCTGGGATCAAGCCCCGCATCGCATTGGGCTGTCTGCTCAGCAGGAAGCCTGCTTCTCTCTCTCTCTCTCTGCCTGCCTCTCTGCGTACTTGTGATCTCTGTCAAATAAATACATTAAATTTTTTTAAAAGCTAATTTATAACTGTGTGGCTTTTTTTAAGATTTTATTTTTAGGGGTGCCTCGGTGGCACAGGTCCTCATCACACATTGTACCATAAATGCATAGATCTCCCTTTAGTTCTTTGAATTCCACATGTGCCCTTCCAACTCAGAGTATTCCCAGGTCTTTTTTTCTCCAAATGAAACCTCCCCTCCCCCTTCCAGCTATGCTTTGTTAGTTAGAATTTATCTTTTTTTTTTTTAATATAATTAAAAAGTTTTAATATTTATAGAATTGTGCAATCATTATCTAATTCCACAATCTCCATCACCTCAAAAAGAAATCTCATAAGTATTAGTAGTCACTGCCTAGTTCCCTGTACCTCTCCAGCACCTGTCAACCATTAGGCTACTTTCTGTCTCTATGGGTTTGCCTATTCTGAACACTTTGTATAAATGAAACTGTAAATATATGGCCTTTTGTATCTGGCTTCTCTCATTTAGCATAATGTTTTTAAGGTTCATCCATGTTGTATCATGCACCAATACTTCATTCCTTTTTAACTCCTTAATATTCAGATGCATGTATACACCATATTTTGTTAATTCATTCATCAGATGATGGATGTTTGCATTATTTCAACTTCTTGGCTTCTATGAATCATAGTGCTATAAATATTCACGTACAGATTTTTATTCAGACTTACATTTTCAACTCACAATTTTCAAGGATGAGAATTGTGAGGTCATGTGGTAACTATATTTACCTTTTTAAGGAACTTCCACAGTATTTTCCAAAGCAGCTCACCATTTTGCAACACTAGCAGCATTATAGGAGCATTCCAATTTCTCCATATCTTTGCTAATACTTTACTATTTTTTAAAACTACAGCCATCCTAGTAGGTGTGAAGTGGTATCTCCTTATCATTTTGCTTTCCATTCCATGATGACTAATAACGTGGAGCATCTTTTCACGTGTTATTTAGCCAGTTGCACATTTTCATAGAAGTATCTATTCAAATCCTTTTCTCATTTAAAAACTGATTATCTTTTTATTGTTATTATTGTTACTTATATATTCTGGATACAAATCCCTTAGGAAATATATGATTTTCTGTGGATTATCTTCAGTTTATTGATAGTGTCTGTTAAAGAACAAAATTTTTAACTGTGGGGGCATCTGGATGGTTCAGTCAGTTAAGCATTAAGTATCTGACTCTTGGTCTCAGAGTTGTGAGTTCAAGCCCTGCCCTGGGCTCCACACTGACCATGAAGCCTACTTTAAAAAAAAAAAAAATTAAGATTTTATTTATTTATTTGACAGACAGAGATCACAAGTAGGCAGAGAGGCAGGCAAAGAGAGAGAGAGGGGGAAGCAGGCTCCCCGCTGAGCGGAGAACCCAACACGGGGGCTCTTTCCCAGGACTCTGGGATCATGACCTGAGCTAAAAGCAGAGGCTTTAACCCACTGAGCCACGCAGGTGCTCCACCAGAAGAAATCTTACCAGCACCTTTATAGTCAATAGAAAATGCAGATGTGACTCCATTGGCCGACCCCAGTTCACACATGGAAATTTGATAAGGGGGCCTCAACTTGATTTCCATCTGCATGTCAGACAGATTTATCTTTGTTGAAAGAGACCTGGGATTATTATATCGCTGCTTGGTCCTCTGAATGAAGTTATCAAATTCAATGAAACAGTATGGTCTGACAGCAGTATTTGTCTTCATCATGTTATAAGTAGTAATGAACTCCTTCTGAAGCTCATCCAGGAAAGAGAAGGCCAGAACATTTGGGTAATTTTCAGTGCACAACATCATGTAGCTCACTCCCAAAGAGCTGATAAAATTAATGTTATAATGTCCAGTTTTCAGTGTACATCTATCAGGAAGCTGAGCAAGTTTCTTCGAGAGCATTTTAAAATACTTTCTGCACTCCTGCACGCCTGTGCCTTGTTCATAGTCAGTAGAAGCAGAAAGTGGCAGCCCATCTCTGACACGAATGACTGATGCAGATAAAATCATGGACATTTCAACCAGAAGAGGAGACCTGTCGAGCCGGGACCCGCCGCTCTGAGTAGAATTTATCTTTTTTAAAAAGATTTTATTTATTTATTTGACAAAGTTTCAAAAAACCTTATGTATCTGTAGTTCCCCGCTAAGCAGGGAATCCAATGTGGGGCTCCACCCCAGAACCCCAGTTATCTTTTTCTTTTTTAAACATTTTATTTATTTATTTGACAGAGAGAGAGAGAGATCACAAGTAGGCAGAGAGGCAGGGAGAGAGAGAGAGAGAGAGAGGAGGAAGCAGGCTCCCTGCTGAGCAGAGAGCACGATCCAGGGCTCAATCCAAGGACCCTGAGATCGTGACCTGAGCCGTAGGCAGCGGCCTTAACCCACTGAACCACCCAGGCACCCATGTGTTGGGTTTCCAACTTATGTCTGTACAAAAGTACTTTGGAGCCACTTGGTAGACCATGACATAAGAACACGTAGTGTTAATGAAGAACAATATGAATGCATGTACTGGGATAATACATCTTTCTAGAAAGCCTGAAAAACAACATCCATGAATTGTTTTTGGTAGTTGTTTTTCCTTTTTATTGGTCCAGTCTATTCATAGCAATAAAGGAATTTAGCAGGAGTTACAGGACCCAGTAGAGGAAAGAGCAAAATCCAGGCACTTTAGGGACATCATTCTTAGCTCCACCCACCTCAAAATACGGGGGGGAAGCTTACTGGTCCAGAAGCCATCTGAGCTGAGACAGGTCCTTTTGGCCCTCTGTGAAAATAAAGGACAAGTTTATGTCCAACATCACCTAGAAAATATTTCCTTCCAAAGCTGCCATGATCTTAAGGAACTCCTTAGAGGGAAGCCCGAAGGAGTTTGGCAAAGAAAAATTGTTTAACCAAATCTCTTAATAGACATCTTTTCAATTCAGTCTCTTTGAATCTCTCTCTCTTTTTTTTCTTTTGAAAGAGAGAGTGACAGAAGCAGGAGCAGAGGGGAGGAACAGAGGGGGAGGGAGAAGGAGGCTCTTCAACAGCAGAAAGCACAATGCGGAGCTTGATCCCAGGACCCTGGGATCATGATGTGAGTCAAAAGCAGATGCCCAACTAAGCCACCCAGGTGCCCCTCTTTGAATCTCTTAAAATAACTTGATGCTGGCTGTACCTGGTTGACTCAGTTGGAAGAGCATGCGACTCTTGACTTTGGGGTCATGACTTCAAGCCCCATGTTGGGTGTAGAGATTACTTAAATAAAAAGAAACTTTTCATATTGGACCCCCCCCCCTTTTTTTTTTAAGATTTTATATGCTCATCTGAGAGAGAGACCATGAACAGGTGGGAGGGACAGAGGGAGAAAGAGAAGCAGGCTCCCCACTGAGCAAGTAGCCCACCTCCTGGCTCAGATCTCAGGATCCCAGGATCCTAACCTGAGCCCAAGGCAGATGCCCAACCAACAGAGCCACCCAGGTGCCCCATGTTGGATACTTTGAAGCAATTACACTTCACTCTTCCATCCAGTACATCTCCTGCTTTTCCTGCTTCTACCACTTCTCACTCATACCTTTACAATCTTTTTTTTTAACAACTCAACTTTTTAAGAGTGTTTTCTCTTTTTCTGTTATCTCAATTCCTATGTAATTCTCTATGAAATGTGTGTCAAACATTATTCTTGTAAATGAGAAGTATTAATATCTGGCAAAGAACCTGCCTCAATTAAGCTGATGTTATCGTCAAGAAAGATAAACTTCAGGCAAAACAAATAATAGATAAAATATGCAATATATTTTCAGATGACAAAGGCACAGATAGGAATTCCACAGATGGAATTCTGTCTCTAGACTGTCTTCAGATAAGGCCTGAACATCCTCTATTCCCTGAATCTCCAGATTGCCAGTTTCCCCTAAAAGATCTTGGACTTTCCAGCCTCCACATTTTTGCAAGCCAATTCCTTAAAAATGTCTCTCCCTCTCTCATGTCTCTAGAATGAATATAAAATTTCTCTGTGTTGCTCTGGAGAACCCTGATTAGTCTTTGAAAACTTCCCATGATCAGTACAAAACTGTATGCCCCATGTGCTTTCTTATTGGTCCTGCGCAGCAGGTCGCACTTTATTTCATCAGTAATTTTATATCGATCACAAATTTCTGGGATCAGTACAAAGAAAGTGTTGCTGAAGCCAAGTCAGCATTACTCAAGAGACAAGTTTTGATTGGAAAGGAATTTGTTTTACTCAGGAGGCTGGCAACCTCGGGAGAAGGTAGACTTTTGTCCAAAAGCCAATTCTGAGGTTTTAAAACCCGCACAGGGTTTTTTAAAAGAGGCTTAGAGTAGTTATTCAGCAAAGGGAGTGCTGTGAGCTGCAACATTTGTCACAGGCAGACTTGATGGTGCCAGTTAGCTCAGTGCTCAGGAGTTGTGGCAGGGGTGGGGGGAGCTCTTGCTTCATGATGTGCAGGAATACCCTGTTCTTTCTGCAAAGGCAGGCAAGTTCTACAGATACACAAAGGGAGGTCAGTAAAATCATTTCTGTGACCTTTTGCTAAAAAAACCTGGCCAGGCTAATCAGAAAGCTGACTTTCTGTCAAACAGACCTGCTGGCCTCTGTGGCCTGGGAAAGTTCTGGTTCTTCACTCCTCAAGGCTAGTGGTCTGCAAATCTCAAAGTAAATTAGTTCTGTTACAGATGGAGGGCCTCACATCATCAAGTAAGGAGTATGTCAACTTGAAGAAACTTAACCCTTTAACACCAGCTGGAGTGCTGCTACAAATGTGTTCTCACTTAGAATAAACACCCTCATTTGAGGGGGACCTGGGTGGCTCAGTCGGTTAAGTTTCTGACTCTTGATTTTGGATCAGGT